GGGAGGAGGAGGAAGAAGCGATGGGAAAGGGAGGAAGAGGGAGATCGGGAGGAGGAGGTGGAAGATGAAGATCGGGAGGAGGAGGATGAAGAGGAGGATTATCTCGGGAGGAGGATGACGAAGATGAGGATTATCTTGGGAGGAGGAAGAAGGCGATGGGGAGAAGAAGGAAGAAGGTGATGGTGAGGAGGAGGAAGAGGGAGATCGGGAGGAGGAGGCGGAAGAAGAAGATCAGGAGGAGGAGGACGAAGAGGAAGATCGGGAGGAGGAGGAGGAAGAAGCGATAGGGAGGAGGAGGAAGAAGCAATGAGGAAGGAAGGAAGAGGGATATCGGGAGGAGGAGGTGGAAGATGAAGATCGAGAGGAGGAGGACGAAGAGGAGGATTATCTGGGGAGGAGGAAGAAGGCGATGGGGACGAGGAGGAAGAAGTGATGGGGAGGGGAGGAAGAGGGAGATATGGAGGAGGAAGACGACGAAGACGATCGAGAGGAGGAGGAGGAAAAGGATGAGGACGGAGTCGAGGATGGGGAGGAGGAGGAGGAGGAAGAGGACGACGGGGAGAAGGGTGTGACAAGGGAGGAGGAGAGGGTCAACGATTGTTGTCCTCCTCGGCAGAAAAAAAAGAAAAAAAAGCTGACGCGACGGACGAAAACGAAGAGGATGACGGGGAGTAGCAGGAGGAGGAAGATGGCGACGGGTAGGAGGAAGATGGCGACGGGTAGGAGGAAGATGGCAACGGGTAGGAGGAATAAGACGACGATAGGGAGGACGAATTCGACATTTCCTCCCCATTGTCCTCTTTCTCCTCTGCCTCCTCCCCGTCGCCACCTCCGTCGTCCTCCTACTCCCCGTCTTCCTCTTCGTTTTCGTCAGTCGCATCAATTTTTTTTTTTTTTTTTTTTTTTTTCTGTAGATCATCTACAGTGGATGATAAGGGGGACGAGGAGGAAGATGAAGAGGAGGAAGACGAAGAGGAGGAAGACGAAGAGGAGGAAGACGAAGAGGAGGAAGACGAAGAGGAGGGAGACGAGGAATATGGCGATGGGGAGGAGGAGGAAGACGAGGAGTAGATGATAAGGGGGGGGAGGAGGAAGACGAAGAGGAGAAAGTCGACTTACCAACGATGGCGACTCCCGGCGACGGTGGAAGCTGGACGGTGAGAGCACGGCAGCAGGAGGCCTCCACGAAGATGGCGATGGCGACAGCTCGACGGTGAGGGCACGGCAGCAGCAGGCCACGTCAGCACCAACGTACGACCTGCACAGCGATGGCGACGACCAACAACCCAACACAACTACAGCGGTGTGGAGGGGTGACGCGGGGCGGGGTGTAGACTTTCCCGGCACAAATTCGAAAATTGCGCCAGGACGATCTCCCCCCCCTGCCCAGCATCACCCCTCCACCCGGCGCTGGGCCCCAACGGGTTACCCAACCAAAATTGGGCCCCCAAGTGGCCCGCTGCCACCACATACGCGGGCCCTGAAAACGGGTACGTGCGTACATGCATACACGTATGCTCGTATGAAGAGCACGCGTACGTGTACGCGGTGCTACCCAGGTTAGAAGAAACTTTCTTTTTTTTTTTTTGCAGATTTTAAAGAGATTCTGTGGTCCCTTCCTGCTCCTCAGCACAGCTTTGTCGCAGAGACTGATTTGCAAAAGTGGGGAGGCAGTGAGTTGCTTGTTCCTCCAGGCGACATAAGTTGTGACTGCAGTCTGAGAGAGGGGTTTTGCCGAAATAGGGGGGAGGGGGAAAGCCTTCTAGAAAGAGAGGGGTGTCCAATAGTCCTCCTCAGAGTCATCACTGACTCGAAAGTGGGGAAAAGTGGGGCATTTATTTCTATATTTATGGGTGTCATCCTTGCGCAGGGGTACATGCTAATCTTCTCTCTCTGTATTGTTCCAATTTTAACCAATGTCCTGAAAGGACGAGTGTAGGATTCTTATTTCTCTCCGCCTTCCAGAGTTGTTCCTTCGATGTTTGCATTTGATGCTGTCTATGTGTTTTAAACAGTTTTTTATTTCTATTTTTAATGTGCCATTTAAACCACCACTACCTTTCCTGTGTATCTGCCGTGGGCGAGGCCCCTCGAGTTTCGGAGGCCGGTAATGCAACAAAGGCCGCCGACTAAATTTATCGATGGTGGCCCAATGGTGGCCGGTCACCGAAGAATGTGGTATAGGACCTGTAGGTTACATTCCCAATCTCCTAACATGATTGCTTCCCGGTTCTGCATCTTTTATTATTGCCAGAACCCGGGTCCAGCGCCCCTTGCATTTACGCCGCCCCACAGTGTCAAAGGTAACTGGTGGCTTAAGCCTTTCAAGAATTGCTATGTACTTTGTTGAAGTTGGAAGAAAAGGAAAAAAAAAAAGAATTGCCATGTACTTCTTCCGGCAGTTGCCATTTACGTCTTCTTCTTTTTTTTTTTTTTTTCTTTCTTTAATATCTCCATCTATTGGTGGGGAGCTGCACCTGCTGGAAACGGGGTCCAGTATAATGTAAGTTGCCATTTACGTCTCTCGACAGCAATAGGACATACGCACACGAGGACTTTTTCGTGCATTTCTTTTTCTTTTCTTTTCTTTTCTTTTTTTTTTTTTTTTTTTTTTTTCGTGCATTTCTGAACAGTGTTGCCCACCCAAACGTTCGTGGGGGGGGTCCACCTCGGCGACCTCGCCCCCCCCCTCCCCCCCGAATGTGAAGGGCTCCAGCCGAAAATAAAGGGGTCGAACTTCCCAAAGTTAGGCCCCTGCCAAAAATCATTTTGGGGCCTCAAAATTTTATTGTTTTCTGAATTTTTTTTGGTGAGTTCTGTAGCATGTAGGGTACATGCCTATAAAGGCTCAAGGCATTTGACTGATCTAAAAAAGATCGCCAAAGTTGGTGATGTCAAAAATTTGCTGGCCCACTCACTATTCTGTTTTTTTACTTCCCTTTGGCCTTAAACCTTTTTTTTTTTTTTTTTTTTTTTTTGTG